GTTTTTGAACCATGTATATGTAGTAAAAAACAAAAACAAAAACAAGACACAACCAAACAACCACCATGCCCAGATAAATACCACAATCAGGATGTTGACTTCCTTGGGAATGTTAAGGGAGAATAATTGGATTAGAGACATGCAGAGGATTTTCAACTATACCTAACTTCTTAAATTAGGTGACTCAGAGTGCATAATGTGTATTATTGTAAACAAACAAACAAAAAAAGGTGGCTCACGCCTATAATCCCAGGACTTTGGGAGGTTGATACAAGAGGATCGCTTGAACCCAGGAGTTTGAGACCATCCTGGGCAACATAGTGAGACCTTGTCTCTACAAAAAATTAGCTGGGCATAGTGGTACACGCCTATAATGCCAGCTACCTGGGAGGCTGATGTGAAAGGATTGCTTGAGCCCAAAAGGTTGAGGCTGTGGTGAGCCCTGATTGTGCCACTGCACTGCATCCTGGGTGACAAAGCGAGACCCTGACTCAAAAAAAAAAAAAGAACTGTAAGTTGGGTGGACTGGTTGGACACGGGGTGAATATCAAACAGAAAAGTGGGAGAAGCAGATGCGTGAATAAGGAGACCATCTCTCCTGAAACATTACTCTAGGAGGAAAGCTGAATTAGTCAGTACAAGAAATGATTATTAGGTAGCAGTAGTCCAGAAAGGAGTTAAAATGAAAAGACAAAACTTAAAGGCATGTCTGGGAACTTGGAGAGAATTTTGAATGAGGAGTCACATTTTCCGAGCAAAGTACAGGAACAGAGTATTTCACAGCAGTATTTTGTAGTAACTGGTAGAGAAAGAGGATGTGAACAGGAGATTGGAATCTAGCAAGGTTTAACTATTTTGTGAGTGACTCTGGGGGAAGGATTGGAGGCTTGCCTAATTTTCAAATTCCACAAAATGGAAGGAATTATTAAAAGGTTTGGATATGCTGGAATGAGGGCCTAGAGACAAGAATATTTTTTTGCAGTGGTTTAAAATGTGGCACAATACACTTAAAATTTATTTTAAAGTTGTCTAATTACCAGTCTTGATTCAACCTCAGGGTAAAGGTGGACGACCGATTTTCAAAAAAGAAGCAGAATATCTCACTAGCATTAGCAATTGTTCTAAGCAATTGGTCCAAGTACTGTGCAATGATAAATTCCAATAGTAAATCAGGTATATTTCAGGGGAGGGTAACCAGAATGTTGAGAACATGGGCAATACTTGGGAGCATCAGTGAGGCATTCCCCAATAATGTGGAAACAAGATTGTCCTTTGAGGATTAAACTAATAAAATCTGCTTGTTATGAATGGGATTAGCTGTCTGTGGGCCAAAACCAAACACTATCTGTTGGTGGGTGACTTTGTTTGTTTTTGGTTTGAGTTGGGGGTCTCATTCTGTCACCCAGGTTGGAATGCAGTGGCACGATCATGGCTTACTGCAGCTTTGACCTCCTGGGCTCAGGTGATCCTTCCACCTCAGCCTTCCAAGTAGCTGAGACTATAGATGCATGCCACCATGCTTGGCTAATTTTTTTATTTTTTGTAGAGACAAGGTCTTGCTGTTTTGCTGTGTTGCTCAGGCTGTTCTCAAATTTCTGGGCTCAAGTGATCCCCTGACCCAGTAGGCTTCTCAAAGTGCTGGGGTTATAGGTATGAGCCACCAAGGGCCTAACCTCATGGGTGATTTTGCAGGTGATTTAGATATAATATCGGGGAGAATGGGCTGGAATGTTATTGTAATAGAGGGAAGAAACCTAATCAAGAATAATATTCCTTATCTTAAGAAAGACTGGGTAAATAAACTTGAGGAGAACAGTACAAAACACAAGAATCCTGATCTGTATGATTTATAATTTAATTCTAAATCAACAAATCAGCACACCAATGTCTACTTCCAAATCCTGTATCTGGATAGCACGATTTGCATAGCATTTCTCATGTATCAACAAAATTGAGTTTTCCAGACCTGAGAGTTGAGGGCTACAATGAGAGGCAGCATCGCCTTTCCTTGTCATAGGCCCCTTCTTTCTCATGGAAAAACCCAAGGACACGAAGGATATTTAGCTGGGAAGAGACAAGCCAGGGGTGAGGTCTGATGCTTATCTTCAAATGTTTAAAGGGTTTTTTTGTTTGTTTCTTTGTTTTGGAACAGTGATTAGACTCTTTTGATCATTGGAGGCAGAGAACAGAACAAAGAACAATGGGCAAAAAGTACAAAGAGTAAGATTTCATCTGGCAAAAAGGAGGGACATGCTACCCATTTGAACTTTCAATAGTGAAACAGCTGTCTCCTTGTCAGAATTCTTGGATCATAGACAACAGAAAAAGTCTGGATAACTATAGCAAATAATAATGATAATAACAATAACAATAATTTAAAAATGATATGAGCTGGCTCGCCTATTTGAAGGAAGAGCTGAAGTGTCTTGCCTTAGAAGGGCGCTGAACCAGGCAGCCGCAGGGATAGAATGAAAGGAAACGAAGGATTGTTTCTTTGGGGCACCATCATGACAAATCACCCTCTGCTGGTTTCTTTCTAAAAATTACTGGGAAAAAGTATTCTGACTGGCAAGGTTGGGCCAGGTGCCTCACTCCTTCTCTCACTTTCGCCTGGCAGGTGAGGGTAAGGAGCCCTCAAAAGAAGAGAGCCTTGATGAAGGACCCTTCAAGGATTCATGGAATGGAAAGGGGCTATTTACCAAAGGAAAACTGAGGAAAAATATTTGAAACCTACAATAGCAGCCGGGCACAGTGGCTCAAGCCTGTAATCCCAGGACTTTGGGAAGCTGAGGTAAGAGGATTGCCTGAGCCCACAGGTTTGAGACCAGCCTGGGCAACTTGGCAAGACCTCATCTCTACAACAAATCAAAAAATTAGTAGGGTGTGGTAGCGCATGCCTGTAGTTCCCGCTACTTGGAAGACTGAGGTGGAAGGATCGCCTGAGCCCAGTGGGTTGACACTGGGGTGGCCGTGGACCTGGGCAATAGAGTTGAGACTCCAACTCAAAAAAAAAAAAAAAAAGAAAGAAAGAAGAGAAAAGAAACCGACAATACCCTCATCAATGCAAGTGCAGAAGGAGAGGCCACCTATTTGTCAGCAACCCTAAGGAAGGGACTTCCATGCTGGAAGGAAGCTGGAAAAGGCAGATGAGAAGGCGCCTTCCTGTCCTATGGGTCTGAAGGGGAACTAAGAAGTGGAATTGATTACTGAGATCCAGGGTCATTAGAAAAGGCCTGCTAAGGAAGAGCTGGGTCTGGATGGGAGAGAAAGAGGGGATGGAGCAAACAGGAAAGTAAGCCATAGAGTAGGTGTGATGGTTCAGGACACTAATCAGAAAAGGAAGATAAGGAGCTACTGGCATTGATCACCTTGAAATTAATATAGCTAAATTCAAAGTCACTATCTTTCTTCTGCTCCCTGCTATGGTTACAGATAGAGTAATGAAAGAAGTGAGACTGGTAGAAGTTAGTTCGTGTGAAGAAGGCACGTGAACACCTGCCTCTCCAGACCTGCTGGTCAAGCGGGATGCTGATTAGAGGGCTTAATGGACAAAGGACTTTCCAGCCTTCATAGTTAACCAATAAGGACATAAACAGAACTCACCTGTCCTAAAATTCTGAATTTGACATCTGGAGACAAAGCAATTAATGAAGGAAACAAAAGAAATCACTGGCCACTAGTGACCTCTAGTGGAAGTAGATTTTAGGGAACTTAGATTTTGATGTGTGTGTTGGGGAGGGTTCCCCATTAGAAAGATGAACATCAGTGGCATTTTCAGCCTGATTATTTGCAGAGGAGTGTGAAGGAAGGAGCTGCTGGCAACAGCACAAAAACCCTGCCCAGAAAATGGAAATGTACCAGGAACACTCTGTGTTTTGAATCAGACTAAGTTGATTAATGTTCTGGAAAAAATATGGACACGTAATAGCCGTCAAAGACATTACCTGAGAAAAGAAGCGTGTTTGGGAAGTGACTTCATTGGTCACTGGGGGATGTAGCATGTAATGGCAGCCAGCAAGGCTTGAGGAGGAGGCCACACCAGTTGCCAGTATGCCTTTTAAACATCTCTTCATTGTAACACGGAAGAGAGCTGTTGCTGCTGAAATATGCACACACTTGCCAATTCAGTATTTTATGGCTTGAGTTCTGCCACTTCCCTCTTCCCAGTGGGTGTCTGTGCCAAGTGTTGGCACACACTGCTGAGCTGGGAGGACATGAGAGGATGCCTGGGCCCAGGCCTTTGAAGTGGGACCAATCTCATGGAGGGCCATGAAACCACACTGGGCACTCCACATCCATCCCCTCTGGGAAGTGCTTTCAGAACATATAATCTTGACATTAAGGAGGAGCAAAGGAATGAGAGGACGGATGAAGGTTTTAAATCTGTCTCATCACACTGGGGACTAATAGTAGGTGAGTGGCATTAAATGGGGGGGAGGAGTAGAAAAAGGAGCAAAGGAAAGATTAAAAAAAATAGAGACAATACAGAAGTAAACAGAATCAGTGTTATCAAGCCCTGGGCAACTGTCACTTCTGGCAGCAGAGCGATCTCGCTGTCCTTGTCTCATATTACCTGCATGGCAGGAGGTGTCATCCTGCCTTCTTGCATTATTCAGCCTCCACCACACACCCTGCTCTGTTTACTGACACTATTGTGCAACTTGGCAGGTCTGCTTTCCCCTGGATTTGCTCCCTCTCCTCTCCATGTCATTTCAAAGATGTAAAAATAGGCCCTAAATGATATTTTTTTTTTTGTGAGTTTCACTCTGGTCTGCAATTTCCAGGGGTCAGATGAGTGGCTGGTCTAACAACCCCCTAAGCCAATGACTTTCCCGCTATTATTTCTTAGATGTCAACTAAACCACAGAGCAGAGTTCAGAGAGACAAATATTAGTGGTTCTTCCTCTTTCTCCCATAAAGATCCTTCCTCCAGGATATATACAAACATTTGCCTCTAAGATAGGTCATTTCAGGATAGGTCTATAAACCAGTTTACTTACTGAAGATGAGCTAATTATTTTAATCTGCTCCAAAGCTTCTGTCAGGCTGTCTTCAATCTCAGCGTCATCTAAGGAGAAGAGGTCCCCAGCTCGCGAAAGATCTTTTTGTCCCAAAACCAGTCTGAACAGTTGATGCATGATGAGGGGGTCTTTGATCAGTTGACTTTCTATAGAACCAGGGTCATGTGTTCTGGATATCAGAGGTCAGTAGGACAAAAATGTGTAGCAGGAAGTACACTTCATGTTCATGAAAGGTCATCTTTCTCCAGAGTCTGAGGTCGTCATTGTCACTCTCTGCAAGAGAAGCAAATGAAACAATATAATGCCATCGGCAGAAGGGCATGAACTCAGAATGTGAACTTAGTGCCCAGCATAGAATGAGAAAAAAAAAAGACACTTGGAACATATGCATAGAATAACAGATCCTGCCTTGATGATCTTCAAATGAGCTCTTTCATGCCTTATTTTTGTCTTAAAAAGTCCTGCCAGAAATTATTAGGTTTCTCCAGAATGGAATTTGAACCTTAAAAATTAGCATGAGCCCCACATTTATTTTTTTCCTGTTTTCTTTCTGCTTCTTTCTCTTCTTTCCATGCACAAAGACAAGCAGTGGACATGGCCAACACTTGCCAGAGAGCACAGGAAATGTCTTTTAGATCCACTGCCTGGGGTCCTTTCTTCTAGCACCTGGACTTTGAAACCAGTGCTTACTCTCTTGGCTGAGTTGCCTTGCTACATTGGCAATAGAAGATCCCCCCTCCCTCATTCCAAAAGGTGATCTCAATAGTTACCCTGTTCCTATGTACTCTCTAATCAAGTAACAATGAAATAAAGGATGCTGCTTAGGAGTATGAGGTTAGAAACATTTCTGGAGTCACATTCATGAACTTGAAAATTGAAGTTGAATGTGTTAATATTGCCATGTAGGCTAAAGAGGAAGGCTTTGAGTTCAGACAACCTCCCTCCTCTATTTCCACAGTGGAAATAATAAAGTTCCATTGTACTTCTCACCCAATTAACAGTCCACAGAGGTAGGGCAATGGCTCAAATGAGAAATCTGATTATTTCATCAGCTCCCTTCTGGGCCTAATAAAACCAAAGACCATTTGCACTGGTAGAGACTTTAGTAATCATTTAATTAATGGTCAGGGAGGTTTAACGACTTCCCCAAGGTCCCATAGTAGCTATGGCAGGTCTAGTCTCCTGATCCAGGCCAGTGGGCTTCCTTCCCAATTCAAGGTGGAATGGAATCACCTCATACATGCAGGTAACTTACAAATGCAGCCACAGGTTCATAATGAGCACCAACAGTTATTGAATATAAGCAACAGGCAATTCTGCCCAGCATTTCACTCAATGTATTCCCCAGAATGAGTGTGAAAAGGGAAAGAAGACTGTTGTTCCCTGGGGCATACCTCCTCTGAGCTATGGCTGTGGGACCACCTCTCTGTTTTGGTGCAAACTTTAAAGTTTAAAGATACGCACTCTCCCCGTTCAACATGTTCTCTAAATACAAGTCAAATCTCTCATCAGGCACTCAGCTCCATAGGCTATCTGAAGTCTTCAAATGCTGCAATTCCTGGGCCACTTTAGGGATTTCAAGAGTAGTATTGCCTACATGCAATATTTGTACCATCTTTCAGCTTTTGAAGAATGATACCTGATAGTACTTACATACCCTTATCTATGCGCTAGGTATAAATACTTTGTAAATATTAATCCATTTAATTCGCCAGTAACCAAATGAAGATATAGCATCCCCATTTTATAAGTGAGCAACCTGAGGCGATCACATAATTTACCAAAGCCATGCAAAGCTGCTAAGCTGGAAAGCTCGGATCTGAACCCAGAGACTCCAGTGCCAGACTCTAAGTTCACAGCCACCATGACACACTGACTTCATGCAAACTGTGAGGCTACTAGGAGTTAAGGTCCTCAGGGCATTATTAATATTCAGGGATGATGGTGTGGCCAAGGTCATAAAGCGAGAAAATGAATTCCTCTTCCCTCCTTCACTGACCAGGCATCCTTGCCCATCTGTGTCCTGGGATTCAGGTTAACAGGGATCAGGAGAGTTACAAGGAAGAGAAGCTTAGAGGAAGAGAAAAGGAGTGTTGGGCTTTTGCAGGCAGGCAGGGGGAGAGCAGAGTGAGGGCACCAAGCAGTGTGCACCCTGACAAATATGGAAGTACCTACAAGAAAAAACAAGGCAGGGTTTTCCTGAAACTTTCTCTTAACACATTCTTATTCCCCTGACCTCAAGTATTTGCAGAGTGACAGTCTCAGTGAAATAATATTCAGGAAAAGTAGGTAGAAATGATTTCATCCTGACCAGTCAGCTTGTTGGATAATATGTGGCACTTTGTGAAGCGAATTCAGCTTCTCCTGACCCACCAGCACAAGACCTCTGAGAAGGAACAGAAACATGCTGATGGAGAGGAGCACCCCCCAGGGCTTCTCCTGGACTCTTTATGTGGGGTGCCCCTCATGCATGCTTCCAACTCCAGTTGTTACTCTCAAGGGCCCGTCATGTGCAAAACACTTCTTTGGGCCCTAAGCATTCTCACCAAGTTGTTCAACACACAGGCAAACAGGGAAACAAACTTTCACAAATCTAGGGGTGGGGTAGGGAGAGGTGAGACTTACCCCAAATGAATGGGGGATGATCAAGACAAACGTCTCCTGAGTACTTTAAAAAGAAGTGTGGGGAAGTACTATGGGAAAAGAGTTCACTCCCAGGGAAAGATGGTAAGGAATGGTTTTGTGGAGGAAATGCCATTAGAGCAGTCTTTTAGGATGGATGAGATTTTTACAGGTTTTCTTCAAGGTATCATGTGCTGAGTATATACCAAGTCAGCTGCTTGTCTGGGGACTGAGATTCAAGTCCCAGCTCATCCACTCAACGGTTGTGGGACTTTTAGTTATGATTTTCCCTTCCCCGAGTCTTGGTTTTTTTTTTTTTTTTTTTTAATCTGCACAACTGGGCTAATGCATACTTAGTCTATCTCTGTTTTGAAGACCACAGTAAAGAATGTATAAAAGAGGCCTTTGTAAAATAACACCAACAGCTGATATTTTGTGGGTGTTTGCCATGTGTCAGACACTTCTATCAGTGCTTCCCCAGAATTGAGTCACTTAATTTTCATGACAATTCCATGCCATGAAAAACTGATGATCAGAGAGGAAAGTAACCACCAGCCCAGAGACACTTGAAGGGTAGATGTAGGGTTAGGACCGAAGGCAGTTGGGTCTCCCAGGATAGACGCACACATGACTACATGTGCTAATTATTACTGAGCTGCCTCCCTTCCCATCACTCTCATTGAATGAGTATCCCCACCACACCCACACCTAGATTGGCAAGGCACAATATTTCTTTCTCAGCCACGCCCATCAATGTTTTGCTCAGGCGTCTCGCTTCTCCTGCTAGTCTTTTTGCAATAGCAGAGAAGGTCAGAGCTAGATCAAATTCTACTTCATTTTCTGAGAAACTCCTTATTCTTATGCATGTCATAGTTCTGTAGCTTATATGCATATATACATATGTACACATGCACATATGTGCACGCACTCAAATACTTTCTGTGCACCAAACTTTTTGCTAGACACTAGACACTTTTTTAGTTCTCTCATCAACCTTGCAGGTAGATATTATTACCGAAGAGGAAACAGGACTGGTGAGGCTAAATAGCATGCCAAACATTACACATAGAGTCAAGATTCACATCCAGGTAGGTCAGACTCCAAAATCTCATACTTTTGTATTATATATATATATATAACTAGCTTATACAATTCTTTCTTACTCCCTACCTTTAATTTGTTTCCCTCATTTCTTTCTCCAGTCTTTAAAGGATTCTAATCTGGGGCCAACCTTCTCATTATTTAGTTTTTAGTTACTTTTTTTTTTTTAAAGTTGGTATTGACTGGTGAGTCAGCTTTCTGTAAGGAGGAACAGAAATCTTGAAAAGAGAAATGATTCTTCACCCAGTGTGATGCCTTTCAGGGGTCATGGCCATCCCCCCAAAACTCGGTTTTACCTGCTTACTACTTCTCAAGGGCGTCCTTGTTGTGACTCAGCCGTGTGCTTTGAGACTGGGAGGGAGAGTCGGGCAGGGAACGCTGAGGGCACAGTCAGTGAAATCTGCTCAGCTCAGTGAACCTGAAGTTGTTCATTGCAGTGCTGGTGTGCTGGTGTGCTGGTGTGCTGGTGCTGGGTGGAAGAATTCGAGGAATGCAGCCTGATGCCACCGGCAGCTCCAGAGCCCGGTCAGGTGACAGGCTGCACCTCACCCACGGGAGAGTCACTCACCTCTGAGTGCAATGCTGTTTCCTGGGGTGAAACTCAAAGCCTGCTCCAGTACAGGAGAGTTGTTTTTAACAGAGAAAACAGAACTCCCTGTGTTCGTGAAAATCTACACTTTCCCAGGGAGAATGGGTGAGGGGTGGAGGGGGAAGCACAGTTTTCAACAGGAGCTCCAGAAAGTGAATGAAAGCCCAAGGGGAGGGGAGGAACAGCTTCATTGACACTTCCCTCCCCCTCTGTATTTTATGCAAGTATCTGAAACACTGAGTGTTTGTCCAGTAAGAGTCACAGCTCCCAAAGAAACGATCCACTTGTTCTGCCTGTACCCTAAAATTGTTGCAAGTTTTAGGATGCAGGAAGTTGCTAATAAATGGAACAAACTTTAAAAACATGCATATTCTCTCTTTTTTTCCATTTAATTTGCTGGAAAGTTCTTCATAAAAATTCATGTGGACCAGATATGTTGAATTTGTACTATTCAATATTGCAGTGACACTCAGAGAAAAGGTTTATCCTACTTAATCTCTTGACACACAAAAGACACTGAAACCTTTCTATTGTTTAAACAGTGCATTTAAAAAACCATGTTTTTTAACTGTGCTCTTCTTTACTCCTGTAATAGGCCTATTGCCATCAAGTCATCTATCTCTAGCAAAGTGTTATCCTGCAGATAACTCCGGCTTTGTGGCCACGAGGATGTGGACTCTGTCTCCTCAAGAATGCACTCCTTTGCGGGCAAAGGAGTGTGGCCAGTATGGCCACAATTGAACCGGGTCATATGTTCCAGGAAATTGACCTCATACATCTCCCTGGACATACGGTGATCAATCATATTTTCATACTAGCCACATATAGAGAACTGTCCCCTTGGAGAGTTCCTTTATAAAAGTGAAGAATCCAGCCATCCATGAGTAGGTGTATTCTTTCATTAGTTACTTTCTGATTTACAAGATACTAATGAAGTCTCTTCTTTTAATGGAACAGACTATATTTCTTAAGCCTTTCCTCCTCATCCTCTCTATTCATTATTACTGCTTTGTTTTTCTTTCTTTCTTTCTTTCTTTCTTTTTCTTTCTTTTTTTTTTTTTTTTTGTCAGAGTCTCAATTTCTCACCCAGGCTGGAGTGTAGTAACTTGATCATGGTACACCACAGCCTTGACCTCCTGGGCTCAAGGGGTCCTCCTGCATCAACCTCCCAAGTAGCTAGGACTACAGGTGTGTGTCTTCACACTTGGCTCATTTTATAATTTATTTTTTCTTTTCTTCTTCTTCTTCTCTCTCTTTTTTTTTTTTTTTTTGGAGGACACAAGGTCTTACTATGTTGCCTAGGCTGGTCCCGAACTCCTGGGCTCAAGTAATCCTCCAGCCTCGGCCTCCCCAAGTTTTGGGATTATAAGAGTGAGTCACCACACGCAGCCCATTATTACTGTTTTCTATCCTTAGATTTTATCCAGTTTTCTTACATTTTTTAGAGCGTAGAAGCCCAAATTGAATATTCTACAGGACTCCAATACGACAAGCAGAATGTGGGAATGTGGACGCAACTGGGTTCCAATCTCAGCTATATTATTCTCTATAGTTTAAACTTGGGCAAATTAATTAGCCTGCCTGAGCCTTGGATTCCTCATTTGCACCTCCTCAGGTGAGATTGTGAAATGGGTTGCTGGGAGATTTAACACAGAGCCTGGCATATAGAAACCACAGAAGAAGTGACAGCGATCATATCCTTAAGATTAATAATATTCTTATAGGCCATTTTCCTGTTAACACCTTTTGTGCATTAAATTACTTTTTGACTGCATTAAACATTTATTTTATTTTAAAGATGTGGGGTACAAGTCAGAATCAGGAACATAAGCAATGTATGTGCAGGTGAAGTCTGGGCCTCCAACTGGTTTGTATTTCCCCTGGTCCTATTAATATCTTTTACAAGGTAATACACTACTTACTGATGCTTAGGGCTTTTCCATTTGTGCCATATTTACATAATAGTGATTTTTGTTTTTTACAGAGCAGAAATGGACTAGAAGACAATGTAGCTCAGACTTTTTGTGACTGGGAATTCAAATACCTGAGTTTTCCACATATGTGTAAAACTCCCTCCCATGTTTAATTGTGAGCAAGAAGTGCCCCTCTAGGACACCAGCCCCTTCCTTTATGGCTTTTCAAGGTGACCTACACTCAATATGCACTAATAAAGCATTGGTGGCTTACTCTATTTTGCATCTGTATATTCTGCTAAATGAAAACATACATGATCTGGAGGACAAAAACCTACTGCTACGGGGATGCTGCCAGTAGAAAAACTGAAGCTTTTGGGGTTGGGGGGATTCCTATCACCATAATTAACTCAGGAAGCCAATTAATTCTGAGGAATTCATCCTCTAGCTTCCAACTTAGGTGAGGATATGCTCTAGTATCCTCACTTCAGAAAATTCTAGAATAGCAATATTATTTACATTATGCTTTAGACACAAGGCTCTGCAACAAAACATTTTCACTGAATTCACCTATATTAAAAATGCCCACCGACTAACTTAAACTCATTTGGGTTCTAGAAACTTTCAATAAAGTTTTCAGATAGATTTTCCCTTGAAAGAAAGGATTAAAGACTCTTTTGAAGGAGCATCTTTTTCACACAGCGTGAAAGGACGACAGGCGTTCCCATGGGAATTGGCCGCATACATTTCAGCCCTTCCCACAAGATGTCTATTGTTCCCTGGACGTCTCTCGGGTTCCTCTGCCCTGGTGTGTTGCTACACTTTACTTTTATCGAAAGCCTCTGAGGCTGGGTTGCCCCAAATGATGCTAAAGGACTCACTCTTCAGTCTTTTTGCTAGAACTTATACAATCTACGTTTGTAGCCAGACGTACTATCATAGGCACACACAAAAAAATACGCTTGGTAACCTATCTAGGCAAGAGCTCAAAAACATCTACTTAATTTTGAATTCAGATTTCAACTTATTAGAACACAAATAGGGGACATTTTCCTCCAAGGGAAATGAGGAATACTTATCTTTAAGACTAACAAACTTTTTAAAACCAAGAATTTTGTGAACTGTTATGATTTCATAGTGTAGCCATTTCTACCTGTAAATTTTGACTTTGTGGGTCATACTTGTTCTGGAATGATACAAATCTTGCTAAAAAAAAATCTTTATTCAAATTCTGTGGATTTGTTTTTTCCGGAAAACATACTAAACCTCTCAAATTAAAAAGACAACTCAGTGCTAAAGATACCTTCATTTACATTTAAATTTCATGTGTGAAACAACTATATGACCGATTCAAATAATCACCTAAGTATTTTTTCTATTCTTTAAATAGAAAATATACATAAATGTCAGTGAGTCCAATAATTGATTACTATAGCAATTTAAATGTGTATCTGAGAGAACACAAAAGTGGTTTCATTCAATTATGATTTGTAAGATCTCTGAAATACCAAAAAGGAAAAAACAACAGCAACAACAAACAGTAATGGTGACTCTGTCCAACCCACGGAGTGTGGTGATGCTGAATTTCATTTGCTTTGAAAATCACAGGCAGGGCCAGTTTCATTGCTGGCTGCAGAGTGTTTCTTAAGGTAAACAAAAGTATGAAATAGAAATGAGACTAGACTATTACGGACTAAACCCCAAATGCACATCAGATGAACCTAGACGCACAGCTTTCTGCTCCTGAGGCCTAGAGACATGTTTTAATAACCCACAAAGAAGTGGCTTTTTTACCCTAATAACTAAAATGCATGCATACAGGGCTAGACACTCAGCTCCCAAATGCGCTTGATCTGCATAATCAGCCAGCCCCTGGAAGTTTCTCGGCTTTACTCCCCTAGCCTTACACTGCAGCCTCTGACATTTACTTTAATTAGCTTTTGTTTTAGCTGAACAAAAGGACAGGAAAGAAGACAGCCATACCTCTTAGCACAGGAAACTCTGGCCGTCATAGGAAACAGAAGGCAAAACGCTTGATCTTTAGAGCACTTCGGCTGGGACCCATGACCAAGCTCAGAGGCAGCCCTGCAGCCGCTGCCAGGTCCTGTGGGCTGAGGCCGCCTCCCTGCGCCGCTTGTCAAGCCAGCGGGACACTTCATTCCCTCCCCGAGGACTCACCGTGCGGAATCGCGCAAATGAGTAACTTCTCCTCCCTCTCCCAAACTTCTGCTTAGACCTAACAATTGGCACAAAGCTTCACTTATTTCTCAGCAGATTTACAGATCTCTCCGGGCAGACCCATAGTTTGAAAGAATCAGATTTGCCTAACAACCAGTAATTTAGGTTCTGTTAATGAATAGCTCACTTTAAGGAATCAAGGAAGTTTTAGGTTAATATCAGATGTGGAGCCTTTTGGCAGGCATCAGGAAAAAGGCTTGGGGAGGGTTGGAGGAAGGGAAATATGAGGTGGCATTTTAAGTCAAATATGATAGAAGAAAAATCACGAGAGAAGCAAAATGGCTAGTCTAAAGGAACAAAAGTCTAACAAGGCTATTAGTATTGCTAATGAAATACTGAACAACTGGATGAAGCTTCCCTCATAGCACTAGAGATTTCTCCAAGCCAGCAGGATTCCTTCTTGCCTCCACCCAGACTGTGAACTCCCTTTTAGCGTCCAAATTCAGAACCCCTCTCTTCGGACCTAATTTATTGAAGACCCCTCACAAGCAGTCCCATATCATCTCACATCTCCCCGTTAAGGAGAACACACTTCAAAACCTTGAATGCATAAACAAATCGGTGGTGCCCAGTGGACTATTATATCTGGAGCTTCTTCTCTCTTGAAATGTGTGGCGTGGACTTTCTTTCCTTATTGGTCTGAGATTTTTGCCTTACACATAAAGTGATAGGACATTTCTGAGCCTCTCCCAACCACAGCTTTCAGTCAAACAGTGTGAGTGTGGCGGGAATGGTGTGATGGGGGAGAGTCAGGTGTAAGGTGTACGCCTGGAAATATCAGAATTTCCATTTGCTGGCAATCGTGCTGCCATGGAAATAAACTGCCGGCTCAATTAAAAGCCAGACTCATGGGTGAGAAGATTACTTGCTCCTGTGTTTATCACCCATCATCCACTTATCCTATTTCTAGTCAACTTTCCCTTAGGAAACCATGTCCCTTGGGTAGAGTTGATGCCCATAAAATAATATGAGCCATAACTGATCTTAGCCAGGCAAAGCAACTGCATTTTCCTGACCATGGTGACTAGTTTAGGGGAGGTGTGTGATCCCTTCTCAGTCAATGAGAGGACTAAGATGAATGTTCAGCAGAGGGGGACTAAAGTCTTTGCTGCCAGGCTTGATGAGAAGAGGAGATAAGGTCTGGCTACTGTTGCCATCTTGCCATGGAGAAACCTGCTGACTTCATTTGGGTCTCTTCAACTAGCGTGATCTACCCTTCAGTAGATGTGGATAAATTCCTTATTGGCTTAAGTGATTTTAGGTTGGGTTTTCTGCCATTTACTAGAGAAAAACTTTCACCTGACTGACTTGTCCTAACCTGGGTCTGTGGGAGAGAGTCAGGTGCAGCTTCTTGAAGAGTTAAGTGGACCAAGAGACTCATCAGGAACCACCCATGACAAATGAGCCCCCTCAGTGGCAACCATAGGCTTCCACAGACAACCAGTAGAAGCAGGAAAGGCCTGGAAAAAAAAATGCAGTCACTCAGTGTGCCTGAAAGTGGGACTTTCCAAATTATTTTTCCTAGTCAGCTACATGGTCACTTCCCCAACTTCACTTGAATCTCCTAGACTTGCCTGGTGGTGGCTAAACACATGATGGGTTTTTTCTTTTTGAGTTGGAGTCTCACGTTGTCACCTAGGCTGGAGTGCAGTGGCATGCTCTTGGTTATCACAGCCTCAACCTACTGGACTCAGTTGATCCTTCTGCCTCAACCTTCCAAGTAACTGGAACCACAGGTGCGTGCCACCACAGCCAGCTAATTTTTTGACTTATTGTAAAGACGAGGTCTCACCAAGTTGCCCAGGCTGTCTTGAGTCCCTGGACTCAGGCAGTGCTCTTGCATTGGTCTCCCCAAGTGCTGGGATTACAGGCTTGAGCCACTGTGCCCAGCCAGCTGACACATGCTGTTTTACCTCAATAAGCCTGGTCATGAAATCCATCCATTCATGCACATTTTTCAAAAATTTCTTTGGGTAATTCATTTTACAGAGTATTGCTTTATCTTTATGTTTCCCCTCCATTCCTGCCCAACCCCCACTTCTTCCCCTGCTTTGGGAGATTTGAAATAAAACATTATCTCTACAACAAAATCAGACTAAGATATTTTCTTTACAGAAAAAAGGTAAATTCTATAATCCCAGAACTTTGGGAGGTCAAGGTAGGAGGATCGCTTGAGCCCAGGAGTTCAAGACCAGCTTATGCAACATAGGGAGACATCTTCTCTACAAAAAAAAAAAAAAAAATTAAACAATTAGCTAGGTGTGGTGTCACATGCCCATAATCCCAGCTACTAGGGAGACTGAGGTGGAAGGATTGCCCTAGTCCAGGAAGTCAGGCTGTGGTGAGCCATGATTGTGTCACTCCAGCCTTGGTGACAGTGTGAGATGTGACTCAAAAAAAAAAAAAAGATAAATTCTATGGCAACTTTAAATAAGCACCAAGAATTCCTGAATGATCTCACTTTATAGAAGTAGTTTTTCTTACCTGAAATTACTGGTGTTCCTTCAGGTATACCATCTCTGTGGTCAGCCTTCCAGCTTCAGAAAAGTTTATTGGAGGCACAGAAACTCAGACATAGCCAGGAGCCTCCTTTTAGGTCAGCAAAATAGCATATGGCTTGAATTGGGAGAGTCAAATTTCCTTAAGAATGGGAATAGAGACCTATGACTAAGGTTTGTTCATTTTGTTTCATTATAATGAGGAATACTTTGAAAAAAAACTTGGTTTCCAAGCAATAGTTTTGCTCCCAAATTAGAGAGGGCTCATTATTCTCCCCAAATGGCACCTTCTTCTATGTTTATCTTGATGAAGAGTCCTCCCCATTTACTAAGTACACAAACTGAAAAGCTGAGTAACATCTTCTATTCCTCCCTCTCCTTTTCTCACCTACCTCCAACGACTCTGGATTCTGTCCATTCTGTGTCCTTAAAGTTTCTTATGACCTGTGGTGGGTAGACCTTAAGGTGGCCCTCAAGGATCTATTTTTTTGTGTTTATTTTTCTCTTGTATATTTTTTTCCTCTTGAGTGTGACTGGGACTTATGACTTGCTTCTAACAAACAGAATATTAGTAAGATGATATACCACTATTCCTGTAGTTACCTTATGTTGCTAAGACTCCACGTTACTGGCTAACTCCCTCTAAAGATTCTCCTTGCTGACATGATGAATAATGGGCCATGTTGAGAAAGCTCACATGATGAACTATGGTTAACCTTTAGGAGCTACAGGTGACCTCCAGTCAATAACCAGAAAGAAGCCAGGGCCCTCAGTCCTTCAGACACAAAGAAATGAATTCTTCCAATAACTCTAGTGAACTTGGAAGAGAATTCTTCCCCAGACAAGCTTCCAGATGAGAACACAACTCAGCCAACACATTGGCTGCATCCCTGTGAGACCCTGAGCAGAGGACCCATCTAAGCCATGCCTGGACTCTTGACCCACAGAAGGCATGAAATAATAAATGTGTATTGTTTCAAATTGCTACATTTGTGATAATTTGTTATACAGTGTTAGAAAATGAATACATGACCATTTTCCCCTGTCTGCTGCCATAAATAAAAATAGCTATTAAACAATAGCTGTGTACATTCTTCATCTTCTTTTGTCTGGATATTGAGAGTAATCTCCTGGAAGGTCTCCAACAGGGCCCCTTCAACTCCATTCTCAATTCTTCCACCAAATCATTTTCTAAAATAAAATATGATATGCAAGTCTTCAACTTACAATGTACAAGTGGCACACCATTGCCTGAGGATATGATCCAAATTCCTTTCCTTGGCACACAAGGGACTTTCTAATCTGGTCTGCACTTCTGTCTCCATCTTTGCCCCCACCATTTTGCACACACACCCCTGTGTAGTAAGGTCACCACCTTCAGAATATATTCAGAAGCCCGTCACCTTTCACCATCTTTACTACCATGGCTATGATCAAAACAACATCATCTCATGTCTAACTTGGATTATTGCAATGGCTTCTGCCTTCAATGTGTTAAAATACAGTCTACACAGAGCATCCAGAAGTTCCTATTCATATACAAATCAGAGCTGATTCTCCTCTGTTCAGTACTCTGCAATGTCACTAGCTGGCAAATCCTCAAGAACAGGGACCAGGTTTTAACTCATCTGAGGAACTCCAGCTCTAGCTTACTGTTGGCACAAGGAAAGTATTCAACTAAAAATTCATGAATGAGGGTTTCCTTTATAAAAGATTCAATGAAATAATAATTCTATAATTGAAAATGATTCTGATGTTGAGTCAAAGCCAGAGTCCTGTCAATGATCCACAAACCCCTATATGATATGGCTCCCCTCTTTTCCTCCGCATCGTCAACTTCACTTCCTATCAGTCTTGCTTTTGGTCTCTCTGCTCTAGCCACGCTGGAGCTACATAGAATTTCCTTGCTGTTACTTGGATTTGATGGATAATTCCCACCAGAGGTTCTCCTCATTTGTTGTTTCCTCTGCCTGGCAGGTTCTTCCTCCAAAGGTCCATATGGCTGACTACTGCACTTCTTCATATCTCTACCCTCTCATCAGCCATACATGTTTACCCTGATCACTCTACATGAAATAGCAACACTCCCCTCCTTCCCTGTACGTCTAATTTCTGCTTTGTTTTTACATTTTTGTCCATAGCACTTACTATCAACTGGCATACTATAAAGTTACTTCTTTCTTTTTTAAGGAAATTATCATGCTCCTTCACCACTCCTCCTAGAATATAAACTTTACAAGGGCAGGAGCTTTATTTACCCAGTTGATCCCTAGAGTTTGACATGGCATCTGGCTCTCAGTATGAACCTGAGTTGTTGAATAAGTGAAGGTGATTTGGTCAATACGTAAAGGTAATTTAAGCTCAGTCAGACACTTCACACAAGACTGTGATTTAGAAGTAAACAGTCTGATGAAGCATAACTGAAGAAACCATTCTGTCATTGTGTTAGGTAGCAGAAAACTCCATGTGTCATGGGCAGATGTGGTTGTAAGGTCAAGTTCCTGGCCCAGCATTGGCACCTGTGGGGGCAGTGGTGGCTTCCCATAGGACCTAGTGCAGGAGCAGCAAGGGGCTTCCTCATCAGATCTGTTCACTAG